CTTTCCCTAACCATTATAGATCTTAAGTTTACTAAAACCCCTTTCACCTAAAGTTCTTGTGACGGGCATTGAGAGAAAAATCCTTATAACAATTTCAATATTTGGATAGAATTTTTAAAACGCCTCGTTGGTATCACCCTAGTTATAGCTCTGATCATAGTAAAACCAATAAATTCCTTGTTTCATTATCTTAAATGATTTCATCAATACACAAACTAGACAAATTTCACCTACCTGAAAACTCTCAATATAGATTATATAAACAAGATTTCTGGCTAAGAAAATGTTCTCAAATTTAAGTTATAAAATTAGTATGATTAAACAGTGCAATTTATTAAATTAAAATTATTTTAGATTCTGAGTGGAGCGAGGAATTTATTGGTGTTACAATGTTTTTTTTTTTGTTTTTTCTATGTACCACTTTTCTACCTGCAATTTTGTTCCGATTTACAATGATAGCACTTTTTCTAAAAGAAAATCTGACTGGTGAGGTACTTTAGGGAGGTTATTTTTTTATTTTCTCAGCAATTTCATAATAAATAAGAAAAAAAAACTTGAGAAAAACGAATAAATAAGTACAATATTATTAAAGAAAATGTATAATGCATATGTAATTATTTTACTTTAATGTGTCATATATATTATTGACAAATCAAAAGTATCAACTGAATTTCACTCTGAATCGTTTTTTTTTTGTTAACAATGGTTAATCGTTGTGTACGGACATAAATTAAATTTCCCCACTACTACCTTCTCAGCTTCTCACCTATAACAGTGGCTACACCCATCCCTATCATTCTAGAATAGCACTTTTATTTTTGTATTATAACAATGTAAAGATTGAAATTGAAATGTTAAGGAGATTGGTAGCAATGATTTTTTTTTTTTTCTAACACATGTGCAGCATAGGAATTTGGTAAGCTCTATTTTTAACTTATAAATTGGTTGAACTTGAAACCGTGAAATACATTAATTTAAGTACAAATTTAACTTTAAATTTAAAATATTAGTCTATTAGTCCAATACAATTAGTTAAAATATTGATGTGTATAGAGTATGAAAAATTGTTTATAATTTAGTTATAATGTAAATGCTAATTCACTCAAGCAAGTTGATTACTTTAAAGATATTGGTATTATCTTGGATTCCAAAATGATTTTTAACTAATATATTGCTTACATAGTAAGTATAGCTTGAAAATGCTTGAGTTTAATCAACGCTCTTGTAGATATTTTTCAAACAAAACAATTATTTATCTATCTTATCTGTCTACTTTGGAGTATTGTTCAATTGTATTGTCTCCCCATCTTAAGAGTCAAAAAAAAAACTTTGGAGACTGTCCAGCATAATTTTTTACAGTTTTTATGTTTAAAATGTAATATACTAAAATTACTTCATGATCCTTATGGGTTACTAATTAAAATTTTCTCCTTAAACTATAATTTCGTAAAATTCTATGTCCTGATTTATTTTAACGATTGATTATCCTTCCATGTTCCATTACTTGTGACCGAACCTATAGTCAAATTTTACATCCCTTTACTCTGTACTAAATACAACACCAGCTCTCCTACCATTTGTCTAATGTATACCAGCATAAGATTGTGTTTTGAAATTCTACCAATCATTATGCTTTTAAGAACTTTGTAAATCATCAAAAAGAAACTCAATTAATTTTATATCACTATCATATAGATAGTATCTTTTTCTGTTATGGGGTACATTAATATGTACACTTATTAAATTTATTTTCTTGTTGTATATATTATAATTAACTGTTATCAATTTAAAATTAAAATTTTTAATTGGGGTACGCCCATTAGTTTCTATAAATATAAAAAAACAAATTGTGCTAAAGCTAACTATAAATAACTAAGAGTTTTAACATTCAACATATTATATTTATGCAATTGGCACTTATAAAATTATTTACATAATAAATATATTCAACAATGCTGTGTTATGGTTGATCATTACATTCAGGATTTAAATTAATCACTCTATATTTCTTACCCTTTCATCTTCCCACTTATCACAGCATTGTCCCTTCCGTGAGTTGTATCTTTTTTTGTGATTTTATTTCATGTTAAAACACAAATTTTCTATAATTATTGCCCCTCAATTTTTGCTGTTAAATCAATTGACCTTTTGAGTCTCCCTAAAAATAAGCCAATATCAAGTTATTTAGTTACCTATTCAAGTATTGGATTTTAAAATTACAATACAAATTCTCCAAAGATAAATTTGTGCACATGTGTATACTGGAATTTCTAAGACAATTTTCATTTATACACATGTTCGGTTTCTCATATTCTTATTGCCTAAATAATCTCTTTACATCAACTTTGAGATTTCTGAGTTACTTGTGAATATATATAATATGAGTTTAAAAGTGGACCTCATTTAATCATTTTTCGGTGTAAGAAAAAAGATCCAACAATTTAACTATGTTTTATGAATTAAAATACAAAATGTATTAATCGATAAATATTTGTTTTATAGGCAGAACTAAAAGAACGTGAAGAACGTAAAAAAAAACAAGATGCAGAGGAAGCAGAAAGGAAAGCCAGAGAAGAGGTTGAAAAAATCCAAGAACAAGAAAGATTAGCATTGGAGAAAAAAGTAGCAGAAGAAAAAGCTAAAAAGGAGCACGAAGAATACTTAAAATTGAGGGAAACTTTTGGTGTTGAAGAAGAAGGTTATGAAGAAACATTTGATAATGAAGGAGCAACAATAGCACAATTTGTTGATTTTATTAAGGTTAACAATTATTATTTTATTAATAATTTTAATAAAATTATATTAGATATTTTTTTAAAATTACTACTATTATGCTAAATGAACCTAAAACAATACACTGTTTATTCATTATTTGTTGATAAGGTATGGAAGTAGTTTTAAATAAATAAGTGTTATTCTTCATATTATTACATTTGTATATAGTAATATTAGATTTTAAATAATTTAATTGATTTAACAGAGATATTTAAAATCATAAATGTCTTATGTTTCAGAAATATAAAGTAATTGTTCTTGATGAGCTAGCTTTAAAATTCAAACTAAAAACTCAAGTGGCAATTGATCGGATTCAAAGTTTGTTGGATCAAGGTTCATTAACTGGTAATTTTATTTATAAGTAATAATTTAATTAATTAATTAATTAATTAATTTTGATTTAGGCGTAATTGATGATAGAGGAAAATTTATATATATATCGCAATCCGAACTTGATGCAGTTGCATCATTCATAAAAAAACGTGGCAGAGTTTCATTAACAGAATTGGCAGAACACAGCAATAAATTGATTGTTCTTGAGAAACCGGAAAAATAAATATTTATAACCAAAATATCTTAATAACATTGGTTATATTTATAACTAGTTTAAATTATTCTTTTTATAATATTTCTAGATATATTAGTCATTAGTTTTGATCTTTTTCTCTTATCATTCGCTTGTATATGTATTATTTGATATACATTTTGTTTTCTATTTTTTCCAGTGTGCGGAATCCAAATTTATAATAATTTCATTAAATTTTTTATATACTATTAAGTATCTTTATTTTATATTCAATATATTAACCTTTAATTAAATATGCTTTAATTAGTATTAGGTATGTTCAACATTATAATAGTTAATTTGTTTGCTACCTATTTAATTATACAATTTTCGTCTAAATGAATGTGCTACTAGTTTCACAGTATTTTTTTTTTACATTATTAAATTTTAGATTAAAAAGTTCTATGCCGTATCTTTATTAAGCGATAATTGAAAACAAATGGTTTTTTAAAGAAGAAATATTAAGGAGATCTTAAAATTATAATAAAAGTTATACAATTAACTTTAAATAGAATAATATGATAAAGATTATGTTGCAATTAAAAAAAAACTGAAAATGAGAAATTAAGAAGGCATCTATAAAGTTATTTAAGTTATATCTGTATACTGTAATAAATCATTGCTGACAAAATATGATTTAAAATGATGTACCTAAGCTTTCATCAAAATTTGACCCTAAAACACTTATACATGAAAAAAAAACTTAAATTACACTCAATTTTGTTTACTACTAAATTCAACTTATAATAAATCTCATGTTAAATATTTAAGCAGGTATTTCTGTTTAGCTAAATAATTTTATTAAAATGAAGCCAGAACTCAAAGATGTATACATTTGAAAATGGCTCAAAAATATGAATATTTCACCACATCTAAAAATTCTAATATACATAAGTATTCTCTGAAAATGACATATTTGTAAATTTAATTTTAACTAGGTACCTATATGACAACATATTTTAAATAATTTAAATATTTATTAAACCTTTAATGTTGTAAACTTTCCTGGTTTTGCCCAATTAATATATAAAATAAATCAAAAACGACCTTCTTAAGTACCAAACTAGATTGAAATTTAAAAAGACTTATCTTTCTGATAATATGCTACACTTGAATTTTGGAGTAAGATTTCTGATAGAAAAATCAAGTTGAATATATTTTATTGTCATAAAGCAAGAAATTTAATAGCATAAACCGGTTTGCTTTACTGATCCTGATTACTGATTGTGGTTTAGTGGCTTCACTGCTTAGTGCTTCAGTCTGAACAGTAAATGTAAACTGATTTAGTTAGAAATTAATTTCACTAATCAGTTAACCCTCTCCGTAATGGGTTTATCTATTTGCAGTTGATTAGAGCACCATCGTTATTATTTTTTTATCATCCAAAATCTTAATATATATATATATATAATTGTAAAACATATAAATATAAAATATAGATATAGATGTTTAAATCAGTTTTTAATTATTTTTATTGAAAATAGACAACATTAAATATTTTAATTGTCTGAAAACGTTTTAGATAGATAAGCAAATCATAGTGTATTAAAATCAATAAAACTTTCATTCAATTTCTTTAAATTATTTTCAACAAATTTATTGGAAACAGGTTTCATCAACATAATTAGTCTTAATAAAGTCGAATAATACTAAAATACCAGGTGATTCATTTAAGATGGTAGACTCATTATCTCTAAAAGTATTAACTTTTTATGAAATTTGTTTTCTAGAACATTTAAGAAACAAGCTGCACTACAATTTTATATTTATGTTATTTTTTGTCGCCCTTTTTTTGGAGGGGGGGGAGGGAGGTAAAACACTTCCTATTTTTGATTTTCAAATGGCAGCCTATATTAAAAATTCCTTAAATAGATGGAGTATAAGTTTAAATAAACTTTAAGGTTAACATTTTTAATTTATGTCAGGCCGTTGATAAGATATACCACTTAATTTTAGGTTGGAGGAGAGTAGTGTTGCGTTATTAACACTCCGTACCCCGTACCACCACACTAATGATACTCCACTACTTTCCTCCAACCGAACCTTAAAAGTGGAATATCTCGTCAACGAATCGACGGAAATCAAAAATTTTAACACTAAAATTTATTTTAACTAATACTCCCATCTTTTTATGGAATTTTTAATACAAGTGCCACTTGAAAATCAAAAAGTAGGAAGTGGTTTTACCACCCGAAAAAAGGTGACAAAAATTAATACAAGTTTAAAATTGTAGTGCAGCTTGTTTCTTAAATGTTCTAGAAAACAAATTTCTGGAAAAAGCAAGTATTTTCCGAGATAATGATGGTATCTATATATAACGAGGTACTATATAAATACTAAAGAAAGAATTTATTATAAAATTTACAATTTTAACAATTTTAATTTGTATTTTTTTTATTTTATTTATTATTTATATATAACATGACTTACGCGTTAATTTAGTTGCAGTTAATTTTCCTATAGTAATTTTACCATTTATAATTATTATTACCTAACTATCTATTATGCAGTTTGTAATTTTGATATACTTAAAATGTTTATGGATGATACATTACTAACAAATTTAATGTTTATACTTCATAAGAAAAAAAAATACAATTGTGTATTTTCACCTTTTTTTTTATACCATATCATTGTTTACGCGCTCCTGCGCATAATTTATTACTGCTTCTAATAAGTTGACGACCCTTAAGCATGGAATGTTGTTAGGTAACAGTTCCTAATTGTCTATAATGAATATTCCTGTATACGGTTATATATAGAATATAGTAAATTGGTTGCGGTCCCTCTAATTGTACACTAGCGCGTACAAAATGTCGCGCGTGTTGTCGGCGTATTTTTAAACTCAGAGTCGGGTAATATCTGAAAGACTGAAAACAATGATTTTATAAGTATATTTACTTTAGCTGAAAAATATTCAAACACTTTCAATTAAGGTAAAAAAAGTCTGTCTGGCGTGAAAGTGCCCGTAAATGACGGTCGCGAGAGTCGTCTGAACAGGCGCTCTCGGCGGCCGGTGCATATATCTTGGACCCCCTCCCCTCCCCCAGCTAGATGTGTTTATAGTCCGCGATTTTCGACAATTTTGCGCGTTCGGATGGTAACCCCGTACGTTGGCCACTGCATCCGGGTCTTGCGAGAACACGTGCACAGGTGTTCTCCGTAGGCAATTCGTTTTTGATTCCCGTGTTACGTTAGTATACACGGCGCGATTCCCGCATAGAGGTATATCGTTCGAGGGCCATATTACATTACCCCGAGATTCGGCCCCGGGTGTTTGGCAGATTTATGGATCCGGCCTGGTCGACGTAATGTATATTTGGCGCGTGAGATAGTTATGCCCGTCTGATTAGACCCGACGCGCGAATCGCCTGGGTATTGCTGTACCACACGCCTGTACCCTATGCCGTATAATATTATTATACACGTTTGGAACGCGAGCCGACGCCCGTAACACGGGATTGCACCCGTGAATTAAAATATTAAAATACATCAATAATACGTATATTTTAATTCGCGGTTACACCTAGATGTGTGTGCGAACGTGTATAAATAACGTAAGTACGTAACTTACAATGCCACTTGCATTCATAAAAAGCCAAAAAAGCGTAAATACGTTTGTTAATAAAGGATTTTTCACGTAGTATCCAAAATGAGTGCGAAACATTTGATACCATTCAGGAGTACCAATACTTTATTGATAATAAACAATTATTCGAACCATTAGTAGATTACTTTGAGAAACATGGATTCGTAGTAGAAGACAAAAACTATTATTTTCATAGAAATGTAGAAATGTAGAAATGTAGAAATGTTATAATAATAAACGATTACCCACGGATAAACAACGCTGTTAAATGTTGGCACTATCCTTATAACGCATTGTTGGGTTGTCAAATTTTCAAAATTAATTAATACATATACAATTTTAAAATTGTTCTTTTTTACCGATTGCAATTGAAAAGGTATTGTTCGTCATTTAAATTTCTAAATATTTGTATTATTTTTTTTTTTTTATCGGACATTACATTTTTTTGTATTATTATTACTATGCCTTATACAATAATTAAAGTATTAATTGATTATTATTTATTTTTATCTGATGTTTTTAAAAACTATGAAACTAAAAATATCAACACATATTTCGTTATCTCCTGTAATTTTAATTTCTATACATATAAATGATAAATCGATATCTAGGCATTTTGGATTTAGAGCTAGACCCATAAAATATGAATTCAAATTCGATTTGTGTAAGCAATAATAATAATAATAATAATAATAATAATTCAATAATGGTATAATGCGTAGTATAATGTATTATTGAAAAAAAGTTTTTCTAAATTTAAGACTTATTATTATGTTTTTGATGCCTACCAATTTCCAATGAAATTGCTTAGTAAAATATATTAGCCGTTTTTCGTACTATTGTATGTTTTTTATCTTAACCATTGCGGCTCTTTGAAAATCGTTATTTTGCAATTTTTTTTAAAAATGGCTCATTTACACGAGACGGTTCCCGACCCCTGCACATTAAAGCATTATAGAGCATAGCATATTAGCATAGCAGACCATAGACACATAAATATATTTATATATCTATGTAGCAGACCGTGCTATAGTGCAGAAGTGGTCAATTTTTTTTTTTTTGTGGTAGAGATCTACCTAAGAATATATTTTTCCTTATAATAATACACAATTAATAGTTCACATACACGTATAAAATAATAAAACTGAAATGTATTTTTGTAATATTGTATTACTATTAACAACAAAATAAAGATAATATATTAAGATAAAAATGATCAGCAGTTGTTATTAATTATCTACTAATTACATAAAAATAAATTCTAACAAAATGGAGATCGACATTTAAATCATCTGCGATCTACCGGTCGATCGACCGATGGTCCACTCCTGCTATAGAGAAATACTCTATGGTGATAATCACGGCTATAGCATTAACAAAGCAACACTGATAAAGTGATAACAGTTTATTGTTTACTAAATTACTTCCATCTCTTTTAACAGCAGTCTTCTTAAATACTAATCGATTCGAACATCGAATTGTGCCCAAAAACATTAAAATATTCGCATTATATTGAATGAAAACTTATTTAATTCTATAATTTATATTAACAACCAAAATCAGTATTCAATCTGACTGGTATTAAAAAGTGAGTACCTATAAAAGTACAAACTACTTACATATTAAAAAATGCCAAATAGATATTTTCGAAATGTATTTCCTGACAACACAAATTTGAATTATTCATATTATGTAATTTGGAGAAATAAAGCAATCAGCCTTACAAAATGGATAATGAAGAATGCTTCATCTTCATCATCTAATGATTTGTATACAGGAACAACAGGAATTGCGTATATGTTTTATCGTTTAGCAACATCAAATACTTATGACACCAGAATGTCTACATCTTATTTAAATAAGGCTGTTGAAGTATTGAATCTCAAGGAATATAAATTCAATGAAAAAAAATCATCCCAATTTATTTGTGGAGATGCTGGAATAAATGCTGTATATGCTGCAATCTACCACCAAATTGGTGACGAAAAAACTTCTGAAATATACTTGGAAAATTTTAAAAAAGGATTAACCATTTGTAAACCAATTGATTTTCATATGGCTGGAGGAGATGAATATTTTGTTGGACGTGCGGGATATTTATTTGGTGTTTTATGGCTAGAAAAAGTGTTTGCTAAAAAAATTATAGCTGATCAAGATATTGTTGAACTTTGTTCTACAATTGTGGAGTCTGGGCGCAGATATTCTAAACAAAAGAAAAGCATGTTTCCTCTTATGTATTCTTATTACAATAAAGAATATTTGGGTATAATTTTTTTCTGAATATTAAATATTTGTCTGAATTATTTTTTACAATGTTTATTTTTCTTTTAGGGGCGGCTCATGGTTTATGTACAATTCTACAGGTGTTAATTTCATTTCCTCAATTTATTCATAAAGAACCACAAGCAAAACAAGATATTAAAACATGTATCGATATGTTGATATCATTACAAACAGCCAATGGTAATTTTCCATGTACAATGAATGAAATAGGGCCAAAGCAGAGATCTGAACAAGATGAACTGGTTCATTGGTGTCATGGAGCTCCAGGTAATTAATATATTAAAACTGAAGACTTGAGATAAAAATGTGTTATTGTTCCATACTAAACAGGATATAATATAAGTTATAAAATTGAAATGTTTATATTATTATTATTGGTCATATTAAAACCAATATTTTATTTTATTGTGTAATTTAATAATAGTTTTAAATGTAATATTTTTCTTAGGTATTTTCTATTTGTTAGCTAAAGCATACTTAGTTTTCAATGAACGTTCATATTTGGAATGTTGTTTAAAATGTGGTGATTTAGTGTGGAATAAAGGACTTTTAAAAAAAGGACCTGGTAATATAAAATTATTTTTTACAAACTTTTTTTTTTTGTAAACTATTAATTTTATGAATTTGTTTGTTTTAATTAAGGATTATGTCATGGAGTAGCCGGAAATGGGTATGTATTCTTATTACTATATAGATTGACCCACGAAGTAAAATATTTAAATAGAGCAATGAAGTTTGCTGAATTTATATTCATTGAAGAATGCATTCAGAAATCTAGAACACCAGACCATCCGTACAGCTTATATGAAGGATTTGCTGGTACAGTGTGTTTTTTAGAAGACTTAGTGTCACCCGACAATGCTAATTTCCCATTTCTAGATGTATTTTAATTACAGTTTTTATTATCTTTAATAATACAAACATTAAACATTGTATTTAAACTTTAAAGGCTTACTAATGTTTTTAAACACACATTTTTGCATTATTAGTTAATTTGAGTTTATGTTTTTTCAATGCATAATTTTATTAAATTAAAGGCGTAATTACCCAGGTTAACCAGTACTATGTAATCTGAGCTTCAAATTTGTTGGCAATGGTTGAATGGTTTTTAATTTTTTTTTTTGAATAAAATATGTTAAAGAAGTTTTAGCTGCATACCTATAACTTTTATTTATATAATTACCCAGTAAATTTTGGGAAATATACATTAATTTATAACTAATTAATATATAAATATTAGATTATCAAAATTATGGTATTTGTCATAATTAAATTACAATTGAAAATATATTTATATATCATAGTTAGAAACAAAGCTCAGGCTTTTCAAAGTAAATTTATTTAAAAAAAAAATGTTAATTCGCATTAGACTTTGATTGCAGAATTGTATTTAAAATATATCACTGCATTTTAAACTGATTGTAATAGTGTAAGTTACTCGAATGTATGATATAAAGTATTGTAAATTATAATATTCCTTTGACAGTATTAATTTTTTAATTTGTGTTTTATGTGAACCGATAAAATGTTTTTGGCATATTATTGTTTTTTATTATTAATTATAATAACATCTAGTATATCCATATAAGTTTTAAAACTTAGTATTGTATAAAAAAGTTATATTTTAACTTTTAAGAAATAAAAATAATAATTATCTTTCTAAAAATAAATTACCAAATGAGTACTTATATTGAGTATATTATACAATACAGGTACTCAAAAATAAAACTTTATCTTTGTCATTATACATTTTTTTTTTTGCACCATTTTTAAATCCAATTTAAAATGGAAAAATTGATTAATTTTGAAAAAAAAATAAAAAATAATTTTTATCAAATAGTTGAACTTTTTTTAACTTTGAAAAAAAAATTGTATTCCAATTTATTCAAATCATTTATTATAGTTCATTGTGTAAATTATCTGTCAATTTTCATTATTATTGATACAAACCATATTTATTTACTTATTTTTTTATATATATTTTTCTATAAAAAAAAGTATCTTCTGTAGAAAAATTGGGTTTTAAATAGGCATATTTACAAATAAAGTAAAGCAATTTGTTTTTATAATTTGTTATAAGTAAGTATAAAAGATACAGTTGAAAAAAAAATTATTATTTAAACTGGTCAATTATCAAATAGGGTTTATTGACCAAATTAATAAACTAAAAAAAACAAATAATTTGATTATCAGTCATCAATATGGGAGGTGACAAAAGTATTAATATAAATTGACTGTATGCACTTTTTATTTGAATGTTATTGTGGATTGATAATTAACTAATTTAAATAAATAATTAAAACTTGAACAAAAATCCACTAAAACTTTTAATTGTAATTGTTATCATCTATTTTCCTTTTTATCACCCATTATTTTTATTAAAAAAATTGTATTATCAGTATTGTTGACTCAAGTTGATAAACGTTTACACTTAATGTTTACTTTTTATAACTCAGATTAATTAATAATTATTCAATACCTAATTTAATAATTTACCTAATATAATACAAAAATAATTTATGGATTTTGACGATGGAAATAATGTGTTCAGTCAGAAAAAAATTGATATTAATCAATCAAAACGTCCAAAATCACTGTTGACACATACTGTTTCAACCATTGTCGCCAAAGTAGTAACTGCTAGTAAGCTTGGAAACGACGAATTAATTCCTGTTGGTAAATATGGATTTGCATTAGCAGGAGATGTAATTCAGAATTACTATCAACTTTTGCTTTATGGTAATAAAAGTTCTGTTCTTGACAATCTTATTATAACCAAAGAATTCCAATATAATGTAAATGAAAATAATACAGTTCAATTCCTATCCAAAGAAAATTGGTTATTAGAATTTTCTAACACCAAAGATGCTGTAGACTTCAACTCGCATTTAGCATTTGTGTTATGGAAACTCAATGAGCCAAAAGAATTATTTTGGATGGATCTTTATTATCCTTCTCGTAATAAAGTAGCAATATTTAGTAGTATTGTTGAGATTACGTATGTTGCAAATGTAGTTCAAGGTAAAAACTTTGGACCAGAAGTGTCTAATAATATTAAAGATAGTCAATTTTTAAAAATCAAAGTTAGTGAAAAAGGCTGGGAAAGATCTTTGTTAGGAGTTAATGACAACACTCAGAGGATTGTTTATATTCCAGTTGCTGAAATGGGTGCTTGGAAAATTTTGACTGATGGTCATCAATGCTTATGTTTAACTATAACAGTTAATAATGTTTATGAAATAAAAGAGAAAAAAATAACCGAATTAGGACAAGAAACTTTGGAGATTACTGCCACCAGTAACTCTATTCCAACTCAATTAACAGAAATTGTTGATAATAACCTCACCATTGAACCTGGCAGTTCTTTGAAAACAGTTTCTATTGAATCACTCTACAAAGAATTTGAAAAATTGAAATTTAATAATGTTGAAACCAATGAACGATTATTGAAATTAGAAGCATTAGTAGAAGAAAAAAAACTGGACAAAATAGAAACATTAAATAGTACTGAATTAAAAAAATTTATCAAAATTGTATTCAAAAGTATAATACAAGAATTTCCAATTGATCAAAAGTTTTCTGGGAGTGAAATTCAAACAACAATCAAAAATATTTTGACCAATGCATTCAATGATTTTGTATAATAAAATTAATTTCATAAATCATTAATGTTCTTTAATCAGTTTTATTTAATTATATTATATAACTAAATTTGTTAAATATTTAATCATATATGTATAAAGTAAGCATAATACAATGTGGTTGATATTTAAATCATGATTAAAGATATCCTTAATCATGGTTTTAATTTTATATCAATAATTTAGCTTTATTGATTCTCAATAAATTTAATGTATCTGTGAATATTAAATATATTGGAAGTAAATTATTTTAAGGTTTACATAAATTTAATATTTTTAATAAATATAATGTTTAATGTATTGAATTTTAAATTTTATAATTTTAAATAAATTATATATGGACATGTATAATATATTTTTTTTATATTGCATGTATATCTACATATTATAATTGCATTTATTTTATGTAATAAATAAAAAAAAATCTAATTCATAACAATTAGATATTTATAATAATTTTAATGCCTAAACAAGTTAAATCCCAAGCTCTTGTTTTATTTTATTTTGATGTCCGAAGATTATAATGGATAATAGATGTTGGAGACCATGAAGAACAAGACCAGTGCAATTGTAAAACAAATTATCGGCACTGTTAGACAATATAAAACCAGTATCCTGATCATGGTATCATATCAAAGCTTAGTATTTTCTTAATAAATATAATATATTCACACTAAAGTCTTATTTTGAAATTGTGTAAAAACGATTTAATTTCCTACATAATAAAAGTGTTATTAATCTCAAATTTACAAAACAATTATGTCGGCTATTATCATTGATTATGGACACCATTAATGGTCCTAATAAGTGTTCTGTATTTACTATTTACTCATGTCTATTCATTTGTCATTTGTGTTGTATTAATGACAACAATTAAATTTTATTAAATTTATTATACAGTATTTATGTTTGAAATGAAACTATTGTAAATTATTTAATATTTGATGATTTACATTTTGAAGAATAAAAACAATTTATTTTTAAGTAAAGTGTCTTTAACATAAATATCAGAATTTTAAGATTTAGCTAGATATTATATAAGTTACGACTTTACGAGTTAAAAGTATGAAGCCATGAACAAAAATGTTAACATTTAAAAAAAACGCGGGAATTATTTAGACGATTAATGGCTGCTATCACACTAGTTGGCCACTCTATTGACTCTCTATTTTTTTTTATCACACCGCTACAGCTATCATTACTATCAATTATCATTATTTCATATTTTCATGTCTGAATTTCGGATTTTGTTCTTACCTAGGTGTATTTAATTACTATATTATACTAATATAGTTACTGTTATAATTTTTATGTAATCAATTAATAATACTATTATTCGCAAAATGAATGTTTTATTACAGGGAATGAAAAATTTAATACTCAATAATTCGCGTGAGTAATACAATGAAATAACAAAGCTAAAACATTAATAATTAAAATGTATGTTTTAGTAGTCGGAACACTTGGAACAATAAGATGTATGGCATCACTTAATCAAATGCACAAGACTGGTCCACATAGGAAACCTATGTTTAAACGTAATCCATTAGGGGACAATCCATTTTTAAAAGGGGTCGTCCTTAAAACGTTAATACGAAAACCCAAAAAACCAAATTCAGCCAATCGAAAATGTGTTTTGGTTCGTTTAAGTAATGGCAAGGAAATGATAGCTTATATCCCTGGTGAAGGACATAATCTTCAAGAACATAATGTTGTTTTAGTACGCAATGGTCGATGTAAGGATTTGCCTGGAGTAAAAATAACATGTGTAAGAGGAAAATATGATTTGCCACATGTTGTTAAGAAAACACAAACAAATTCATAAGTTTAAATTATTATAAATTGTATTTAGTGTAGTACAATTTTGAATTAATTAATAAAATATACAAATATGTTGCTAATGCAATATAAAATGTTTCAAAATAAGCATTTTAATTCTAATTTAACTTTTTCAACCTTCTTTGCTTCTAGTCCATCTATAATTTTCAACGGTGGTGGTGGTCTAATTTTACGGCCAAAACGACCAGTTTTTCTTTGCCATAATCCAGATCGTGGTCGATTACCTAATTCACGATTACGGTTTGGACTGCCGATATGTTCTTTAAAGTGATTTGCATTAGATATTTGCCCTAAAAAACCAAATAAATGAGTAAAATTATTAATTTAGTCAAATCTTAGATGAATAGCAAACATAAAATTATTCATAGAAATAAATGTACAATACAAGACACATTGAATAGAATGAGTTTGGAAACTAAACAATCCCTCTAAGGGTGTACAATACATAATAGGTATAGTTAAAGCATCAATTATAAATATTCAACAGTGTAAGTTAAACATTTTTGATTTTTATTTGGTATATTATATAAAATATATAAAATATAAAAGAAAAGTGTTGCGGAAAATATATGGCCCGGTCAAAGATGAAATAACTGGTGAGTGGAGACGAAGAAAGAACTTAGAGCTGGAAACACTATACAGTAGTTCAGNTTAATACGACCGGTTGTAGTGTATGGATCGGAAACATGGCCACTCAGAAAAATGGATGAGCATAGATTCATGGTCTTTGAAAGAAAAGTGTTGCGGAAAATATATGGCCTGGTCAAAGATGAAATAACTGGTGAGTGGAGACGAAGAAAGAACTTAGAGTTGGAAACACTATACAGCAGTTCAGATATTTTGGAGGTCATCAGAGGCAGAAGACTACGGTGGGCTGGCCATGCTTGGAGGAGCCAAAATCCACTATTACATGCTGTGATTGAACAAAACCCTGTAGGTAAAAGACCTCTGGGGAGACCAAAAATGCGATGGGAAGACAATATAAAAAAGGATGTTGAACATTTAGGAGGCTGTGCCAATTGGAGAAATCTGGCATTAGATAGAGAAGGATGGAAGCTTGGTTGTGAGACGGGATGGTCTTAACGGCCCAATAAACCCAAAAAAAAAACAAATATTATATAAAATGACCCAGTCATACAGTGTTAACACATTAAAGGCAATATTAAAGTTAATTNATTTTAAGAAAAGAAATTTTAATTTTAATTTTTCAATCATCTTCAAAAATGTAAAGTTATACCAGATGTAATTAAAGACTTTCAGAGAGAAGATATGACACGACACAAGTTTAAAGTATGTTTTTAAATGAGTTTAGCAGTGTTAAATTTAAGCAAATTAAAAAACATGAGAAACATTTATAATATTGATACAATAAATAATGTCTTACCAACTGTTGCCATACAATGTTTAGAAAGCGAAACTTGTAATTTAGATGGTAATTGAACAATAACTCTGTTATTCACTTGTCTCAAAATTGTAGCTGTCGAGCCAGCAGTAAAAACATAATGAGCACCTTCACCGGGCATCTTTTCGATACAATGTACTTTCGTACCTTTAGACAACGCACCAAGTGGATATGCATCTCCTTCTTTTGGATTCACTTATATTTAAATATTAAAATAATTATTCAATTAAATATACAATTTCAAAACAATTGCCTTAAATCATAATTTATAATAATAAAAATGTATACCTGGAATACGAGGAATGAATCCAGATGTGATTAATGAGTCTCCCGGTTTCATATTAACAGTAGCAATGATATATTTTAAACTTGTTCCGCAACCAACTAAAGCCACTTTGGCTGTTCGACAACCACAATCCATTATTTCTAGAACACGGTCAATTCTAGGAGGATCATGTTCACTAGTTGGTCCAAATCGTTTTAAATCAACCCAATGGTATTTTTGTTTAATACCACCACCCAAGCCTTTAACAACGACTCTGCCTGGAAATAAAAATAATAATAATTTAAATGAATTTTCTTTACCAATCAAATATATTTATGTCATTTTTGATGAAAATTACTGTCTAAAAGTCAAAATTAATTACTAAGGAATTTAATGTAATTTTTATTTTAATGAATCTTGTAGAACCTATTTTGTATAATCTTATTGATTAGAAGACATTGTATATTTGAGATCACCATGAAGTTAGCAAATAAAGGTTATACAAATGAGTATCTGCTAAGGTAAATTTATTCTTTCAAATCAAAGTATTTCAAATAATTTATACCAGTTTCAGGATCTCTGCCTGCTAAATGTTTGTTATTCAATGGTTTCACAGTGTATTTTTCCGGCCATTCAATTTCTCGTCTAAAGCTTCTTGATTTCGGATCTGGTAACTCCAAGTGAGTAAAATTCCATTTATTTCTAACTACATTAAAAAAAATGGAACTTTTACTGTTCAATTTGGTACAATCAAACACAGAAAATCGTAATGACGATACAATAAACGGCATTGACATTTCAGAAGGTAGTTATATAAATTTACATTAAACAGCTAACGGCACGATTGCGATTTAAGAAAGCACTTAAGTACACTTTAATATTTTCAAATGTATAAGAAATAGGTACAAAAATTAAATTCCGGTGTCTGATAAATAAATGATAATCCAGAGCGGAGCAGTGATAAAAAGAATGTATGGCAAACTATTGATAAGTAATAATATATTAGGTTTTATGACGTCTTTGATAATGATAAAGCAACTTTATCATAACCTATAAATTTAAAAATTGAATAGTCCAATGATTTTCATTTTGTAAACGGTAGATAAAACAAAAACCAAATTAAAGTTCTGTTTCATATTTTATGCTTGTCTAAAATAATTCAATTTCTTTTAATTTTTGTTCGATTATAACTAATAATGGCCCTAAACTACAGTTCAATTCAGGATGATGGTGCTTTTTCATTCCGGAATCTGGAAAGGTATGAATGATTTATTATTCTACTACATAACAATTATTAAAGTGAACTATTTCGTATTTACCTAACAAGATTTTGAATTTTTGATGTGTCATGCCTTATTAAAACAATTCATGTATACTATTTTAACTAGGTACTGCTATTCCGAATACTTAATACTAGTTATTTTATAATATTATGCTTTAATCACTAAAAAAATGTCTACTTAATATTTATATTATATTACAAACAGTGTGCATAATTTGATCATATAATATAATTTGTATCATTTTAAGATAAAATAAAAATAAAAATAAAAAGTATACTCATTATTAAATAAATTTCAAATTAATAACAATAAATTCCAGAGTAAACATTTTCTGAGAACTATATGATAAATATTTTATTTAAAAAATCATTTTTTATCCAAACAAAGTAATGTAATTTGGAAAAAAAATTGCGTGAATAGTTTTATAATTTTCTTTCAACTATTAATACCCAAATGGCAAATACCTATATAATAATAAAAAAATGTGTAATAAATGTCTAACTATAATTTTATGTATATTATTTATTTGTGTAATTATTTCAATAGACAGCCGAGTCGCGCTAACTCGAAAAGTTGAAGGGGGATAAAAATTTACTTTGAGATATTGAACTAGAATTTATTAAAATTAAATTAAAACTTTGAGCTATGTAATGAAATATAATTTTAAAATTTTACGATAAAAAACGTTATGATAAATATGTATACATAAATATTATACAAAAACTAAAATAGATACAATGGTATTTTAAGTATGTACATACGTATTATTTATTAGATAAAATAGAAAAAAGTCAGTGTACGGAGATCATTTTTCGATTTTCTTAGGAGTTTACTTATCAAATGAAAAAAAATGAAAAAAAAAAAATGGTTAAATATACTAAATATATTTGTATATTATGTAATATACTTTAACTAAGCTAATTATCACAGTTTTATATTCGAGTTAACAAGCCTTATAATACATTGAGTGTTATGAGAATTTCTAAGGGAATAAAAAGAAATTGAATATCGCGACCCAACTGTATTTATACAAAACTACTCAATAATTACTTAAATACTTATTTAATTTAAATTTAATTTACATATAATTCTTGTTATCTTAGAAACGCAAAGCTTGAAAAAATGGGTCTCAAAATGCCAAGTTTCCGTAAAACTGGAACCACAATTGTTGGAGTGACTACTCCAGAATGTGTTATTTTAGCTGCTGATACACGTGCTACATCCGACAAAATAGTAATGGAAAAAAATTGTGAAAAAATTCATTACATTGGCAAATACATGCAGTATGTTTGCTATAAAAAATGTAATTATATGAGTTGAAAATTTTTTTTTTCTAATTTTAGTTGTTGTGGTGCTGGTACAGCAGCTGATACTATGCAAGTTACTCGCATGGTTTCTTCTAATGTTGCCTTGCAAGCGTTTAAGTTTCCTGATGAAATGGTACCTGTTGTATTTGCTGCTAGGTCTCTTCGTCAATATCTTTTTAAATATATGGTAATTTAGTTTTTATTATGTCAATATCATAATGGTCTAGTCTAATTTGTTTTTGCGATTTAGGGATATGTTTCGGCTGCTTTAATTTTGGGTGGAATTGACAACAATGGTTCTCATCTATATTCTATTTACCCTCATGGCTCAATTGATAAACTGCCTTATATATCTATGGGATCAGGAAGTATGGCAGCTATTTCAGAATTAGAAAGCAACTGGAATGAAAATTTAACTGTACTACAATATCTAAAATAATGAATTTAAAATCCATTACATTTGACCTTTTCTATATTTTAGGAAGAAGAAGGCATAAAACTGGCATGTGACGCTATTTTAGCTGGTGTTTTTAATGATCTTGGTTCTGGAAGTAACGTTGACATTTGTGTCATCAAAAAAGATGGAACTCGTATGCTCAGAAACTATCTAACACCTAATAAGAAACCGGATACGTACGTTTTAAAAATATTCTTTTCTTTTTTCTTCTACTGTAAAATAATATAATTTTTTAATTTTAGTGCTAAATATGTATATCCAACTGGTTTAACCAAAGTATTATGCAAAAGTGAAATTAAATTTGAAATTGCAGAAGAAACTGTCATGGAAGTGGATGTTTAATATTTTCAAATATCCCATTATGAATATTATTAACTTTACATACATTTTCCAGTTATTCAACAAATTATTTTATAATAAATAATGGTGGTAAAATATTTTTTATTTGTATGAAATACACAAGTAACTAAAAAATAAACTAATATAATATTTTGTAAAGTAGAATTGTTATGGTTTTTATTATTATTATTATGCTACGTTTTCAATTCAGTTAATTTAAAATAACATGATACTATCACAGTAGTTGTTTGTCAAAATACAGTGGAAAAATACATGATGTTGAATAATATCACATCAATAACCTAATAGTCATATGTCAATCAAAATTAATTACTGTTGGTTGTAATAACAATAAGTTGCAACACAACAGAATGCTCTCTGTACTTATAATTGGCCTTATTTTACGGTTGGTTATTTTTATATTTGTTATCAAAAATCTAAGGAATTCAATGACAAGAGTAAGAGATAAAATAATATGATGATGAATTGATGACATTTATAATTTTGACAAGAAAAGAGATATGGAAATTGTGTCTATGTCTTTTGTAACCTATCCAGGTTAAAAAAAAAAAAAGCTAACTTGTGTAATTTTGTAAGTATATTAATAGGTAAGTGTAATTAATTCAATTTATACCCTAAAATTATCATTGGGACCGAATACCCAATTATAGGTCCCTATAGATAGATACATTACCAATACTTATTTACTATTTAGGTACTAATCTAATCTTCATATTACAGTAGTTCGGGTTGACTTATTTTTTAACGTGTAAATATATAAATATATACTTTTGAGTTTTTTAGATACATTATCTATATAGATATAAACATCAAATTATTTATTTTTCCAACTAGAGTAAAACAAATTTGAATTTAAAAACTGACATTAGAAAAAATAAGGCTGGAGATATTTCTTCCTAATTTCCCCCTCCAACCATAAAAATTATTCAAGTACAGTAAAACGTCTGTTAACTCTGTTAACGGTCACCTCTGTGTAACAGTAATTTTTTTTTGATTCCGTCATGTGTTATACCTTTTTAGGAAACCTCTAAAGGATGGTCACCTTTTAATAGCAGTCATTATTTCCGATCTTATTGGTGACCGTTATCTGGAAGTCTTATTTTAATTATTTTGGTTTTGGTTTTTTTCCTTGTCTATTAACGTCTCACCAAATATTTAAACCATGTTTTGATGTAGTACAATTTTTAAAATATTTTAATTATTTTTGAGTTATCTATGGCTATTTGGAATTTTTAAGTTTTTTTGTGGATAAAACTTATAGACTATCAAAAGAATTCAAAAATTGTACACAAAGTTCATCATAAAAAATATGTTATATTTAGTGGGTGGATACTTAAAACACCTATACATGGATATCAGTAGTGGTTTATTCTATAGACTTAACAATTTTTATTTGACCTTTGTTGAAAAACCAATACAAAAATTGGTGTTGTTTAAAACAAATACTTAAGTATCTGGGTAATGGGCAATGATTAATAATTATGAATAATTTAAAATAAATATATTTTGATTCATATCAAGAAATTGATAAAGGATTTTTAATTTTAATTTTTTAAATTTGTATATTTTTTATTATTTCAACGGTGTTTAAATTAACTAGAATATGGTTATAATCAAAAACATTTTAAATCCAGATTAGACTCAAACTACATTGAAAAACAACAATTTTAATTGACACAAGATAGTGTTAAGGTATACTTTGTGGCTATAAACAAGTTGCTAAATGAATTTGAATGTAAATTATATTTTTTTACAAATTTGAAACAATAAAAAATGCAATTTATGGATTTAGTTTCAAACACAAACTGGTTGAAGATGCTATATTATTCTCTTCATTTACAATATCCTCATTGCTCCATACTAAACTTTGAGTGAAATATACTGGAATTATGAACTCTACATCAATATCTGACTTGAATTCCATCTGTGTTTCAAAACATTTTTTAGATTCGGAGCACAGCGAACAATATATTGGTTTTACAATGATGTTTTTTTGTGAACAACTTTTTTACCAGAAATCTTGTTTTTTTCAAGTGTAGTACTTTTTTCGAAAAGAAATTGTATGTGGGTAACTTACTTTAAGTGGGTCATTTTTTTGATTTTCTAATTGTTTTTCATAAAAATTGAAAAAAAACATAAGAAAATATACGTACATTGTACATGTACCAGGGGATCCATTTAATGGGTACACTCATTATCTTGGAAAATATTAACTTTTTTTGTAATTTGTTCTCAAGAAAATTTTAGAAACAAACAGCTCTACAATTTTACATTTATGTTATTTTGGAGGTAAAACCACTACCTAATTTTGATTTTCAAATTAAAAATTCCATAAATAGATATTAGTTTAAACTTATAAGTTTTGGTTGAAAGAGAGTAGTGGTGCATTGTTAATACACCAGGCACAGTACTGCCACACAAATGATACTCCACTACTCTCTTTCAACCCAAACTAAAAAAAGTAGAATATCTCGTCAACGAACTGATAGCAATTAAAAATTTTAACCAAGTTAAGGTTATATGCACAGCAGTGTTTATATGAGCATTTGACATAATAGAAGATATTATTGAGTATATATATAAGTTATACTCATTACTGTGGTACCATCATAATCCTAATTTCTACAATTTTGGATGTTTATCTTGTATTTTTCAATACATTATGAATAAGATTTTCATAATCAAGTGAGCTTTGTTTCTTTAAGTTAAAAAAAGATTCTAATTACATAACAGTATAATACTTAGTTGATCAATTTTTTTAATATATTGAATAGACTCTATACTTTAGAGTCTATTATGATTGAATAATATTTATATATTTTTAATTAATTTGCTAATATATTTAATATATCTGATGATAATAGTTGAATTTTTCAATTTACACAATTTTTGATTACTATTTAGCTAATGTAAATAAATAGAGCCCCTCAAAAGTATTATTTAGACCCTTTGACGGGTCTTTGCCTTGCTCGCCCTGATGCCAGTTGTGGCACGGACACCTAAGCTACCTACTTCTTATGCTATCATCTATCAATCCACTCTACTTGTCTACCAAAGCATTGTCGAGTTTATATCTGTTCTACTTTTCTGTCTACCGCCCACTCCAGACCACAACATAATTGGTTTTTCACTGTTTCTGTAGAAATTCACTTTAAGTATCATTGGAATTCCCTTATCACATGAAACACAAAACACTTAACACTTCTCTTCACTTTATCTGACCACAAGTAATTATATCTTTTTTTGTGTAAAACATCCTAGGGTAGGTACTTAAATCTCAACTTTCCTATTGTTATTAGATGTCTTGTCCTGTTCCTACAAAATTATATTCAGGTTTTCTTCTAATTATCCTTAGTCCCATTCCTCACCCTATTACTAACTTATTGGAGATTTTCTCCTATCACAGATAGAGGGACAGTAGGTCAAAGTATTGTTTACAACTCTTTATATTGTTAAAAAAGAAATTTATACTGGTTGTCGTTCTGACCCAACTCACCAGGTTTTTAAATATATTATTATACATTTTATAGGCAATAAAATAATGCCTTGTAGAATTTCTGTACTGACTATTGAGTGTGCTAATTATATTATTGTGTGTATTACAAGAAATCAGTAGGTACTGTAGGTACCTACTGGCCCACTATTTAAATAAAAAATCAAATTTAAAACTCAATTATTGTATTGCCTAGCACATCATTAATGAGTAATAATAAAACATAATTTACGTATAAAATAGTATAATATAATAAAACATAATTCACAAAAAATATCTTATAATAAAATTATAAAAAGATTTAAAGAGTTAAAATAAAATAAATCGATTTGAGTATCTTTAACTAACTTCATGATTAGGGCTAGTGATTTAATGTTTTAATAATATGCAAAAATGGTAAAATATATTCTTAAAAATGTTTTTCACTAATAAAACTAAAAATTACCAATTTATTTATTTAATTTGACAACCCTATTTTGTTGTTAAAATAGAAAATTCCGTTTCTAACGACGAAGGAACTTTTTTCGTTCCTCGAATAAAAATACAGATTGTTGGTTTGGACGTACTGCAGTTTAGATTCTGAGCGGAGCAAATTGGTTATACCGAGACGAGTTTTTTTTTATACAAGAGCAACTTTTCTCCTAGAAATCTTACTTCGATAAAAAATAATGACAGTCTACCGTTTTTGTCGCATTCCGAATCTGGTTGGCGTGTCGAGGAGGCGGTCGTTTTATTTATTTTTTTATCATAAAAATAATTATTATAATGTATTCTTCTTTCGAATAGTGTTTGTGCAAACAAATATAAGGACTTTCTCATCATTTTTGATTATCCTTGTATTTCACGTAATGGGGAAAGGCAGGAAAAAATTAGAAAATGGAAATTGATAAAAACTTTTCATTGAAATTTGTATTATTTGTTGTAATTTGGTAAATAAATTAAGATAACTGTAATTGTAATCGATCATTTATATTAACATTTTCTAAATGTGATATAATTTTAAAAATATTCTGGCGTTTTTTTGGGGGATTATTCATTTATTGCGTTTGTATTGTATGAACACTATTTTTTGGGCTCGAAAATTCTCGAAAAAATTTGATACAGTGTCTCTCTTAAGTCAAACTTATGGTAATATAAACCATTCGAAAATCTATAGTGATAATTTTATTTTTATAAACGATTTAAGGTTAGAGTATACGAAGATCGTTCAGTCATAAAATAATAAAATAGTATGTGGATTTTAAATGGGCTATTTAACTTACACCATTGAAAAGAGGTAACAGTATCAGCACAAAAATGCGTAGAAACCATAAAATAAAGCCCAAATAATACAATTTAATAATTTGTAATTTATCTGGACAAAAATAAATATTATAAAAGTATATACAATAAATATATGCATATTTTATTTATTAGAAGTCGCTCTCCTACTACTTATTCTTACACTTTGAATGGCTCCAACCTAATTCCTGTTGATTCTATCATTTGTGATCTTGGCTTTACTTTTACTTCCTATCTTTGTCCTTTTATAAGTACCTTACTTATAAAATAAAAATGCAATTAAATACTATAGGTCAATCAAAGTCTTAGAACGAAATATAAAGGATGACGAAAGTGATTAGTTTTGGTAATATGTATGATAAAATTATAT